AGAGACAGCTTAAACCGTCCCTCTGTTTGGCTTTGTCTTGCAGCACTTCCTTTCACGAGTGCAGAATCTCACTGCATCCCTTTCCTATTCCTCCCCCCGCACCGAGTCACAGCTTGAAGATTATTGGGCCAGAGAGCGTGACTGTGAAGCCTGATGGGTAGGGACTGAGCTGGGAGGTGGGAAATCCAGGGCCCAGTCCCTTGCTCCAATTATCTGGTATTGATCCAGAATACGACAGCTGAAACCGAGGGATCCTCCATCAGAATATCCCTTAGCCCAGTGGTTAGGAAACCTCTCCTGTGCAAATCCTTTCTCCGCCGCAAGCAAATGGGGGAATTGAACCTGGGGTTCCCACAGGCCAGCTGAGTGTGCTAACCAGTGGGCTAGAAGCCATACGGTGGACACCACCACCTCCTTCGCTGCCAGCCAGACTTTGATGGGACCTGCTCCGGTAGGTGGCCTCTGAGCGCGCATACTGGCTTGGACCCTGCATGCAAGTCTGATGGTGCCTGTCTTCCCCCGATTCACAGATCGCACTGGGGCGTAGGCAGGAGCTAAGTACTCAGGCACCTAGAGCGAGGCAGCAGGGCATATGCCCCGAGGCACAAACTTAGGGGTGGAGGCAACTTTTCCCTGAAAACGTTGGTGCCAAATGAGTTTAGGCGCCTTCATGGGCCAGGGGGAGGTTTGTGGATCTCAGTGAAGTCTCAAACTGAGACTTAGGCACCTAAACCCCAGACCTAGTCTGGGGTTTAGCTGCCTGTGATTTTCTTGGGGTACCCAGGACTGAGGTACTCTAGCCAGAGGGAGCCTTGCTGTGGTGGCTGGGGTCAGCTCCCTAACCCCACCAGCCCGTCAGCCACTCAAGCACTCTCCTATGGGCTAGGCCAGCCCTGTCTGCCTCACAGGTGCACCCCAGTCCCCTTGAAGCATTCCCCTGTGATATCCAGCCCCTGATGCTGGCTACTCCCAGAAAGCCCAGATCCTCTGCCCCTAAAGGAGCAACATATCCCACTTTACTAGTTTCACCTTAAATCATTGCTCCTGTAAACCACACAGCACTTGTAGTGAAACAAGAGGTTTATTTAAGAGAGAATACAGATTCCACTATAAACAAGTGAGCAGGTGAAACCGGTGGTTACAATACAAAACAAAATCATAAAATGCAAACTAGGGCCACACTTATCAATAGTTCCCTTTCCTAGCGGGCAAAATAACCTCCCACCCCCCCTGAATTTCAGTCTATTGCAGAATTCGCTAGTGGCACAGGAACCAGGATCCAAACTTTCATGAAACACCCCCGTTCAGCAAGATGTTTCCTCAGTGAATGGATTCAGGGGGCCTCTCCCCTTCAGTGTTACACTGAAAAAGTCTTTTGTTTCTATTCCCAGGCAGGGTGATCCCTTGTCTGTTGTAATGTTCCTTTTTTACTGCCAAGTGGTTTCGATTGTTTTCAGTTGTCTCCAGGGTCAGCTTTAGGCCGATTCCCCCGAATTGGGCCCCGCGCCTAAGAGGGCCCCGCGCAGATCGGGCAGCGTCCCTGCCTGAAGCAAAGCTCTGCGGCTCTCCTGGAAGCAGCAGCTGTTGCTGCTAGGCAATGAGAGATGCTGGCCAGCAGAGGCAGCGGCGGCTATTGCAGGTTGGGAGGGGGGGAGAAGGCACATGTGCTTTGCAGCCTTCCCCTCCCCTCCCCCCGGCACTCAACTGGAGGAGACCCCGAGGGGGCTTCCGGTCCGGTGGGAGACAGGAGTCTCTGCAGTCGACTTCACTCACCTGAGCAGCTGCTGGGGCTTTGGTCGGTGAGTGTTTGATCCTGTGATTTCCCCCTAGGTTTGTAATATTGGGTTGGCTTTGTGGTTTTTGGTGGTGTTGCTGTTTTAGGGTGAGTTTGTGCCTGCCTGTGTCTGTTTCAAAACTAAACTCGGGATCATGTAACCCAGGAAGAAAGCCCCGAGCCGGTACTTAGTGCTGTGAATTCCAGGTGAGAGAGAGAGGAAGGTTTGGACGAGGAAATCAAATACATCAAGAGGGGAGAATGCGAAAGGTCTGCAACACGACAGGCTGAGACTTTTATCTCTTCCCCCACCACCCCAGAGAGGGGAAACTGAGGCACGGAGTGATCTGATTCCCCTCCCCAAATTATTTTGCAAAGGAGGGAGACAGGGGCTCCTATCCAAACCAGTTCCCTTCCCATCAACTCTGCTTCCCCTGCTGCAAGACCACTGTAGGGGCTGAATATTTCCATTAAACTCTGGCTCCTTCATTTCCCTGCAACAATAAAATAGATCGGCTTTGGGGGGAGAATAGCCCTCATTCAACAGGGCAATTGATTACAAAGTGGGGGGAAGATCTTATTCTACTTCTACCAAAAAGACATTTTTCTTTTACCTTA